CTTAATCTTACGAAGAAAGGCATAAACGAAGATTTCGTGAAACAGAAGCGTCGCTGATAAATATCGAGAAATCGAAGAAAACGTACGACGTCAAATAAAAAATTTACCAATTTTAGACACGTACTTTAATATTGTATTCTATGAGTTAACCACGATTCATTTAAATGAAATTATACACGAAATTGTAACGAATGCAGAATGCTACGAATGTTTGCAAAACTACGAATGTAACTTCAAAAATAAAATGTGAATTTATTTTATAAAAATGCTGTATATTCCTTTCTCTCCACCTCTTTTCTCTTCCCTGCGATCTCCAATTCGTTGTAACAAAACCCATTGTTAACTTTTCGAGTTCGAAAGCGATGGGGATGTACAGGTAAAAATATTCGGTAGACATAGACTGGAGGCATTGTCTTTTAACAATAGTTTTATCTTCAAAATTATCCTTATCTGCTCGAACATGTCCACACACGCTCACAAGCCTCAAGAGCAGGGGCCCTAGAGATTCGAGGCCGTAGGACCTAGAATTTTCGAAATTTTCCACGCATGACGTCAATACTTTACGTAAGTACACAATATAGCTAGTTTCCATCAGAGTATAGCAATAGCGTAGCGTATAAGACGCTTGACTCAAGAGCCAACAGACTCTGGTTCGAATCCGAGGAGGACCTCTACAGGATTTTTCCAGAGAACACACATGTGGGGGATGACCACACACACACACGCACATCCATCCTCGCCCCGTTATACGACTACGTCGTAAAGACAGTTTCTACCAGACAGCAGCAGTAGTACGGTGGCAAGACGGTTTGACTCGAGAGCCAGAGGTCCTCAGTTCTCGAATCCAACAGAGGGCCTTTTACAGGGTTTTTTGGAGCTTGTGACGTCGATATTTTCCATATGTAGACGATATACCTAGTTTTCGTTAGGATATAGCGGTAGCGCGGTGGTAAAATGGTTTGACTCGAGAGCCAGAGGCCCCGGTTCGAATCCATCACAGCAGCAGGGCTTACGCTTGCAGAGTTTTTTCGAAACTTGTGACGTCGATACTTTCCACATGTAGACGATATAGCTAGTTTTCCATCAGGGTATAGTAGTAGCGTAGTGATAATACGCGTGACTCAAGAGTCAGAGGTTCTCCCAGGTTCGAATCCAACAGGGCCTTACACAGAGCTTTTCCAAAACCTGTTGACGTCGATATTTTCCGCATGTAGGCTATATTATAACTAGTTTCCATCAGGGTATAGCAGTAGTGTAGTGGTAAGACGCGTGACTCACAAGGGCCAGAGGTCCCCAGGTTCGAATCCAGCAGAGTTCACAGAGTTTTTCCGCAAATGCAATATGCAAATTAAGTAGTTGATCACGAGTCAGAATTGCCAATTCCCTAATAATGTCGGTCATAATTTGCTTACTTCAAAAGTCGATTAGTTTTTGCCTGTGGGGAGGTATGGCCCGTCAAAATATTCCCCCTCCACTCGACCCGCCGGCGCCGGTTTTGACGGGCCATACCTTCCCATGTACTACTAGCGGGTGCAGTAGCAGATCCCATTTCAGAGTTTTGATGGTGTCCTGGACGATGGAAGTGCGATGGCACGGAGCATTATCGTGCTGCAATATCACTCGTTCGTGTCTCGTGTCCCATTCTGGCCGTTTTTCGAGCAATGCATGGTTCAAATTGATCAGTTGTTGTCGGTAGCGATGCCCATTGACAGTTTCGCCCGCTCATTCAGCACCTCATAGTACACGATTCCTTTCTGGTCCCACCAAACGCAGAGCATTGTCTTCTTTCCGAAGTGATTTAGCCGTGCCGTCGATGTTGATGCTTCGCCAGGTGAAAGCCATGACTTTTTGCGTTTGGGATTCTCGAAATATATCCATTTCTCATCGCCAGTAACAATTCGATGCAGGAAACTCTTTCTTTCATGCCGCAAAAGCAAAATTTCGGAAATGTCTCTTCGATTTTCCATCTGTCTCTCAGTCAACTCATGCGGCATCCATTTTCCTTTCTTTTGAATTTTTCCCATGGCATGTAAACGTTTGGAAATACCTTGGCGAATCATGTTTAATGCCTCCGCAAGTTGAACTTGTGTTTCCGTATCTTCATCCAATAACGCTTGCGGATCGGCGTCCTCAATTGTATTTGGTAGTCTTCCGGAGCGCTCCTTGTCCTCAGTGTCGAAATCGCCACTTCTGAAGCGTTTAAACCAATCTTCACAGGTAGTTTTCGATGGAGCGTGTTCACCGTAGACCTCCTCAAGCAAACGACGTGTTTCAACTGCACTTTTTTTCAAGTTAAAGCAGAAAAGCAATGCTTCCCGCAAATGCTGTTTATGTGGCACAAAACTCGATATCTTCGTTGTTAGAAAAAATATTTCTGCGTTGCGATATGTGTTGGTATTACGACTGGTTATTGTTAACAGATGTCCAAATTATAAAAAAAACATAACTTCAGACATGTATGTCGACTACATGTGTCGTTAGCGCCATCCATGTGTGAAATCCGGAAACTTAGTTGCGCACCTAGTAAAATGCTTAATTTTTATATATGAAGTCATTTGGTCCAGAGAACAAAGCAGAAAAATATATTTAGTTGAGACAACTAAATATATTTTGTTGTATAAAACATGTTATATAAAATAAAAAAATATTTGGATGCTATTAAAAAATGCTTCAACTAAACAGTTTTGTTAGAGATACTACATTTTTTTTCCTAATGTAGAACCACGCGTTTACCGAATCAAATGCGTAGGAAATTACGTTCTCTTTCATCTTTGCACAGAGAAGAAATTGCAATTTTATTATGTTCTATTATGTTATTATGTAGTAGACTATCTGCAAACATCTTTGCACAGAGAAGAAATTGCAATTTTATTATGTTCTATTATGTTATTATGTAGTAGACTATCTGCAAACATGTTTGCGACGGATCAAAACAGAAACGGTCAATGCATGCCTAATACAGTATTGAGTCGATGAAAGAACTCCTAAAAATCGGCGTCACGCAGCTTGACTTCTTCCGATCCCTATCGTGTTAATAATGTACCTTATTTCGTCAAAGACGACTCTGTTACTCTCCTTTCGATCTCGGACATAATTATCTATGGCATTCCAGACTTCACGATACATAATGTTCGATAAGTCATTATTAATATACAAATTGACGTACACCGGTCGAGATACATCTCTGAATAATTCACGCACGATTCGGATGAAGGATAATTGTATTCATGTGGGTCGACGTAAAATCGATAGATAGCCTTATTCTGCAAAAGCGATCCACATGATGAATTCAATCATGGATCACGTGAGCACAGATGAGTGCAAGACAAACGTAAAATTGTGGTTTTCAGTGTTACTTTCAGCAACTTTACCCTCAGTATGCATGAGATTAAATTTAACGCATACTTTCCATCCATCAATGTATCAGCTAACTACAACTTATATAGTAAAACTGCATTTGTCACGTCTCACATTATAACGAACGACTTGACGAATATCAACGTTAGCATCATTATACAAGGTGGATATAGCAAGCACTGGACAACGGCCTATGGATATTTCAACGTTTATTATGTCAACATAATATTCGAAAGTATAGGGAATGTGGACATCACCACGGAAATAATAAGTCAATGGTACTCCAAAGCAGTCATCGACATAAATTCCTATCTGCATAACAACTGGGGAGCTATAGCTATATATTCCCAGTTCGAAACATGCATATAATTCAATTATTCGCCTCTGATATTATCCAAACAATTGCGAATAAAATCTTCTTGAAATATCCAATTCACGAATTGCTGATTTTCTAGATGCGCAGTTGTCTTTGTTTTATCGTTGTAACGAAACACCCATCACTGTATGACAAATATTAATCTTCAGAACAATCAATTGTATACAATTTATTATTTCATATTAAGCGATTATTCACATGCAGCGATTTACAAAACGTCTCTTCTGACGAAGCTAAAACCAAGTTCACCATATCATCAAGGATGCGAGGATAATAAACAGTTATAATAAAATTCAAATGATTGTACATGGTGTAAATAGTTTATTATATTTTTATTGTATTTTTATCTTGGTAGGTAAAAGTTTAATAAAAATACGTGGAATCATCGCGAATCTCTCGTTAGAGTTGTAACGTCGGATGATATCTCCTATATTAGCACACCGCCTTCTATCATAACCAATCATCGAGCAATTTTAAACATTCGGTGCGCTTGTAACTGTGTCGTAGATAATATTTATAAACCGTTATGCAAACGAGAATAGACTTAGTTTTTTCTATACAACTTAGAACATAACCGATGATTTAATGAGCGAACTCGTTTGTAAAATAAAGCATCCTTCCAACACTTCCATATTGCTGACAATTTTATCACACAAATATCGCAATGCAAATATGATACAAAATGATTTTGTATTTTGAGAACACGTAATAAAGAGTTATGTATGTTAAAAAAAAAATTTGAGGTATAATACATTAATCCTTGGTTGATTTAACGTGAAAGCTATATACGTGTATAAACATCCACAGAAAATATTTTATGCGGTCCCAAACAGATAATAGTATAAGTCAAAATTATTAAAAATCAGGAGAGATATCTTTCTAATTCAAATATTTTCTCGTTCAGCGCATTATTATTCCTCGTGAAAATCTACCAAACAGAATTTCCAGATGTAGATGCGAATCGATCTTTCCAAATGTTAACTTTTCGAAAACTGACGTCATCAATTCAAGTCGCCAATTTAACGTAATGCGTTAAGATAAGAACCGATGTTATAATTTTAATTGACAAATTATTTCGTTCCAAATAATCGCCTCGGCGGGTGGCAATCGCGAAGGAAGATTTTTTGCAAGGATTTAGCGAAAACATTTGTAAAGTGTTTACATATTTATCATTGTTCTCTCACTATGTCTCTGCCTCAACGCTAAACAAGGAAACAACTCGTGATTTACATCCTGTCGGCACGTGATCGTTATGTTTAAAATATGCCCTCGACGTGTCGAATTGGTATGTTAACGGAAGTCGTGAAGTCGAGAACAGCGCAAAGTGATTGGATTATCTTCGAAACTACACGATTACACCACTGCCGATAAATCTACATTTTGAAACCGCTCAGCGTTTCGTTAAGTTCCAATTGGAGCAAGAACCTTTCCGCAAGCAAAATGCGTATCATCTTTACACTCCTCGTTATAACGAGCAGCTTCATCGCGAACATATCTGCCTTCCACCTAAAAACCATATGTAAGTAACATCGCGATCATCGGATAAAATAATACTCTCCAACGAGTATGAGCATGTATGGTGCTCAGTTTTATGCGACTATCTTGTGATAGACACGAGCGATTTTATATATTAGTCGAATCGCGTCGATTTTCCTTCTCACGAGAATCGCACGCTTTCCGGATCGGACATGAGATTGATGACTTACGTCGCTTTGATATACGTTTGCAGGAAAGATTACAAAGACATTTTATTTTGTTGTTAGTACCGGATCTACACACATGTCCAAGATCAGAACTCCAAAGATGCTTACCGCAAAGCCTGGAATCGATGAAGCCTTACTTAGCGCAAGGTGTTCCGCTTTTGAGCATACCCGCTTTCGAGCCATATTATATACAATTGAACAAAATGATTTTTACAAATGATTTTATCCCTATGATAAAGTTTAGAGATACATTCATCAGCGGTATATCAAAGTTCAGGATAAGTAAAGTCAGGTAAGTAATTATTGTCTAATAGATAAACACATCGACGGATCATTCGCTAGCGTTTAGCCAATATTTCACTACGACGAATATTGTTGTATGGAGAATTCCTACAATGTCCGAAGGAAGTGTTAAGGACCTTAAAAATGCGCTAAGCGATCAATTGACATATCTCAACAATATTCATCGTATGATAAAGGAAAGCAACTTGGCCGAAACGATTCACATCCGGATGAATCCGTCTGCGGTTGGTGACCAACTGAGCACAAAACTATCTTAAAATTGTTATTTTTAGAGTTACCGACAGGAATGATTTCATTCAGTTTCTCGCACACTTTTCACTCGTCAGAGTGTCCACTACGTTCAATGCATTCAGCTCGTTCGTGCGTATGCTTACTAAAAGTAGCACATACGAATTAAATAGTATTCTTGCGGACGTCGTTGCCGAAATTACTATAAGAGGCTCGAATTTCGGAATCGAAATAGAGAGTGAACAATACTTTTATGTGCACAACGTCACCGTGCGAATTAGAAAGATTAGAGATGTGAAGACTGAGAAACAAGAAAAAGGTAATCCCAAATATTTAATGCAGTTAACAAATGATTATCTTGAAGTAGAGTGGGACACACTGACTTCCGAATTAATCCATAACATCCAAAACATCGCAGCTGAAATTATCCAGACTATTTCGAATAAGATTTACACCAGTTTCCCAATTCATACATTAATGACTCGCTAAAATATTTTATTGTTTTGTTTTTATCGTCGTGACTATAAGACTAATTATTTTATAATGAATGTTACTCGCTAGCACAATCAGTTGCGCATCACTTATTTTGTTACGAAAATTCGTATACGCTGCTTTGACAAATAGCTTTTTCTTCCGATCAAGATCAAATGCAAACGAGTGCTCGCGGGTTTGCGATTGTAACAGAATTCGCATGATAGTACACGGTACACATAGTGTCTCTTTATTATACTTTCATCCGATCGATAAAAGTATGATAAAAATACCTACGTTTTTCACATTTTCTCGTCATATTTGCAACGTTAGATATCTCGTATACTATCACTTCGACTTTCATCATAACCGATCAAACTCGCAAATTATTACTCGCAAGCATCATCATTTTGCACTACCAACCTTATCGGAAATAACATACATAGATCCTTTCTAGACCTACAGATCCTAGACCTTACGCAAGTACGATTGTAGACTTGGAATTGATACAATTCGGACAATTTTTTCTCGAAGTATTTTACAGCATCTGATGGTTCAATAAAATAAGTTATTTTTTAACAATCCGAAAATAAATTCCTTCATTGAAGCATCAACTGTATCTTCGGTATCCAGAACAATTTTGTCCTAACTGTAAAATAAATTCGAATATATAATTATCCAGAAAGTATGTATATACTTGAGAATTCCTAGAAAGAAAAGAATACGTGCAATAGGTGGAATATTTGTTTTCTTCGTTATGGAAAAAAAATTCATGTTAATGCGTTTGCGATATTAATATTTTCCTCCTAGTGTAAATAACTGCGCTTAGATTATACAAATTTATTTGTAATTCCAACAAACACAATAAAGAGTTATGCACGTAATATGTGAAATTTGAAATAATATATTAATTATACCTAACCTCCTCTATTTCTTCTTCTTTTCGACAGCGTGAAAATTCAACGGCAGTAAAGGAAATATTCATCACTTTTAGATATATTTTTCTCTCAATACATTATCGCTTAATCTTTTAAAACAATAGCCAGCAGTACTCACCGATCTATCGCTATTGATTTTCCTCAGAACGCAAATGATCGTCCCATTATCAATTTAAAAATTAAAAACTGCATTTTATATATTGATTTCGCAATGTATGTTCTCTCCAAGTAGCTACTTTAGCTAAAATTATAAAATTTTGTGAGAACTTTTGACATATATATACAAGTTCCATTATTCTCTCCATAAATGCATTCGCACAATGTTAAACTATAAGGCCGCTTGTGATTTACATTGTATATATACGTGATTGTCATATTGAAAACGCGAATCCTAACCTTTCGAACAAATATATTAACAAGAGACGTGGAAACGAGAACAAAGCGAAGTGGCTAGTTGTCATCGAAATCGCACAGTCGGAACATTATCGAGTAACAATAAAATATGCGTGTTAAAGTCGCTCACTATTTTGACACGATATTAAGTTTGAATTCAACCGAGGATCTTTGGGAAAAACACAATGTGCGCTATTTTCCTGTTTGTACTTTTGATGAATACGATGACCATGATGAGGTTTGACCACGATCTAAGGATCACGTGTAAGTAATCGTGCGGTCATCCCGCAAAGCCGAAAGTTTTTTCGAACAGCTGACATTTGTATCTCCGTTTTAATCTTGCCAATGGAATCCATTTTTAATATTCTAAAAGTAGAATAGCTAGGCGGGTTCTAACTCGGGAGTGCTGAGGGGGACGCGGGGAAGCGGGGAACTCAGGGTGCGGGGTATGACGTCACGCGGAGCAGCGGGGAACTCATGGTGGGACATCACGCAAGATGGCGACCGTGACGTCACGAGGAAAAAATGTACCCGGATGCAGGTAGACTCGAACCCGGGCCCTCGCGGTTACTACCCCATGCTCCAAAGCTCCTAGACCACCGTCGCATGTTGCTATTAGACGTCTATTGAAGGTTCTTGCAGTGGGCATGATGACGTCACGAGAAAAAAAACCGTCGAGATGCTGCTAGACTCGAACCCAGGCCTTCGCGGTTTCTATCCAATATTCCAAAGCTCCTAGACCACCGTCGCCTGTTGCTATTAGACGTCTAGTGAAGGTTCTTAGAGTGGGCATGATGACGTCACGAGAGAAAAAATAAGTCGAAACTAGGTCAGACTCTGGCCTTCGTTTACTGCGCCATATTGAACGTCTATCAAACATCTCTCGAACATCTCTCCAACGTCTCTCGAACGTCTCACGAACGTCTATCGAACGTCTAATAACCATAATAAGCAAATAAAGAAGTATTTTTATCAATATAATTAACATAATTAATTAATTTAACATTATTAATCCTAAGAAAGTGGATAAGGGGAAATTGGAAGAAAGGATGCGATCTAAAATAAAAAAGATGTATCATAATATATATATATAACAAAGTAATTTATTTTTAAAGATCACCAATTGAAACATTTACACGTTTGAAATAATGTTTTTATAGCGTCATACATTGTTTCTTAAAGACCACCAATTGAACATTTTTAATATATTTTGTAAGGCACAATTTTTCTTATGATTATTACATCGGAAAGCATTTGGCAACTTTTGGAGAGAAGGCATGTCATCATAGTCAGCGTCCATGGTCTTAATGACCACGCTGCTTCTCGCATGGTCCTCTAGAAGGTGTAATAGCCATTCCCGCTTCTCATGCCCCTTCATGTATACAAGTTGAGATGCATCGTCTTGATAATTGAGAAGCCTGCCACATATATCATCCACAGCTGCAGTAATCAACTGTTTCGCTTCACAGTATTTGACGGTTCCATCTCCCCACCGTAACCCGTGATGATTATCCGTTACCCAGCAGGCTCTCGATTTTTCTGATCTTGAGAGAAACTCCCATGGTATCGGACTCATGAAAAGGTAGTGCAAAAGAACCGCTCCTCAGTATCGCTGCTTCTTTTACGATAAATCGTTTTCGAACTATGAACCCCTGCAGGTCAACAAACGTCGGTACAATCTTGATGGGACAACCATTCTTTGGCATGTTCGGGAAAGAAATATCGTTGCGTCCCTGGGTGCGAGTAACATGACGCGGCTCAGGAATGCGAGTAGTACGATATGATTCAGGAATGCTATAAAAATACAATGTAAATGTTATATACATTTAAAAATTCGGTCGGGAAAGTGCACACAAAGTACCAACCAAATTCACATTGATACTCACTTCCTACGTTTCATTTTGTATGGCCCCTCGAAACACTCGTCGCACTTGTCATACTCAGGTATATAATAATTTGTTTGTGCAGCGTTGATTTCGACATCAGGCATTTTGTATGGCTCCTCGAAACACTCGTCGCACTCAGGCATGTAATAATTTGTTTGTGTAGCACTCACTTTGACATCAAACATTTTGATTTACTATGTGGAAGCTGCTGCCGAACCTTGTCTTTTTACAAAGCGACTGTCGAACCTTGTCTTTACAGAACGACTGGTGTAACACTAAGCAGCAGTTTCTTTAACGCAGGCAAGTTTCCCTCCGAGTTTCCCCCGCCAATGCTACATCCCCATCCATCGTTTCCTTCAGCAAGCTTACTGGGATGTTAGATAAAGAAAGATATGCACACTATATCATAGGGTACATCCTGTGAAGAACTAAATGCTGTATCCTGTAAAGATATGACTATTTTTGGTCAGGATTCTTTTCTAGTGCATACTTTCTCATGTATTATTCTTTTCTCGTACATACTTTCTGATGTTAGTTGAGTTTGCGCACTATGTTGGTTAGCGGGCTGTATTCAACTATACGATCGTGCAGGATGAGACAATATGCAGTAGTACTCACCGGTATATTCTCCTTACACTCAAATTCTATCCGCACATCCACAGTGGCACTCTTGACGGACTCATTTTGACACGAACAATCGATAACCACGAAAGGACCTAGCCGCAGAAAGTCTATAATTGCTAACCATACCTCAGCACTGTCGCATACATAATACGATTTACGAAAACATCTATACATATCGTAAAATATGGCGTATTTATTTTTTGCAAAGTCTAAATTCATGTCGTCGTACGGATAACACTCTGAATTCAAATAGAGCTTCACATTGATCAATTTGCAGTCATCGAAACGAGCTATATTTTCCGACATTACATTTTTCCGGCCAGTCTGCAACGCAAAGATAACGTATCGAGGTTTTTCTAAATTAGTAGCAGTTTTGACGGTCCACTGGTGTTTGGTCGTGCTTTGCAGTAGAGGAAATTCATACAGATCCCACGAGCGAAAACTTATACTCAGGTATCGTCCGTTCTCCAAAGTTTTCAGCATGGAAAGTTTATTGATATCGTTCAAGATTACGTGAGGCATTCGCCATTGTATCTTGAATAGCTCAATCTTAGGATCCAGCGCTGAAGTCGTAATAGAATCAATTCGTGATGCACGTTAATCACTATACGCTTGTAGTCTTCACAGAATCCTAGCAACACGCTGAGTGGTACGCAAAACTTTAAGTATTCGTCCGGCGAAATAGTGTCAGTGGCATCCCACGCGGCATTTTTCATGACAGCATTTTCGTCCGAAGACATCGATACATAGTTTTTGAGCGTTGAAGTTATTCCCACGTTTCTGTTACGATCAATCTCCACACCATCCAGTTCATAACGAATCTCATCAAACATGAATGCAACGCAATTATATCCCAATGTTACAGTTGCACCATCGACTGCAACTTGTTTCGTCACCTTCCCCTCGACATAGAGATAACTCTCGCATGGCAATATGTATAAATCCTGCTGCTGTATGGGTATTCGTATCTCGTCGCTATATCCAAACGTTGTGTTAGCGTATGGGTTGTACGTATGTGTCTCAATCTTGACGATGCGCTCGTCAAAGACCGGTTCACTTTCAATGTTCAAAATGTCAATCATCTTTCTCAATCGTTTCGTACGATGAATCCCAGAGATTTAAAAAATTCAACGTTCAACGCACTGAGTTTCTTTCGAACGAGGGATTTTGTACTGTTAATCGAGTGTCTCGTAAAAGGTATATTTCCAGCTTGTTTCTCCTGTTCCACTTGATTCACCACAAGCATTTTGTTACGTCCTGTAGATTTAATTAGCAAAAATTCTTTCCTCTCGCGGATTTATATTCTCCTAATATAACTATAATAGGAATATATACATATATAAATATAAATTAGGAAACAGATCCATCTGGCGAACAGCCGTCGCGCCAAATTCGCGCCAAATTCGCGGAAAAGGCGATTCGGGAAAATTCCATAACAGGAAACAGTGCCCTATTGTAAAAATCTACGTCTTCGTTTAAAGTGTATATCTGGATAGTGTTCGCCAAGTGTGTCTGTCGTCCTAGCTATAAAAATTTGAAACTCCGCGCTAACAAACCTTCAGTAAAACAAAGCAACTCAGCGCATTCCTGCTCTAAAACT